CACTATAACACACACACCATAACACACACACACACACACACACACACACTTTTTCTTTCCCATTCCACAAATGCCCACAAGACCCCACTCACCCAACAGAAAACCCAATGTACCAGTAGAGAAGCTCCCAAGTGCTCATTGCTATTAAGGACACTCTCTTTAGGGTTTAACATGACAGAATTCCTTTCAGAGAGAAGTACGGAGGACTGAAGTGGGAGGATGGCTGGGGAGGCATGCCTCTGAAGGTAGACGTAGGCAGCAGATCACCTCTCTGAAGACTGGATAAAGCAGCTTTTAGGTCAATGCAATAGGTATACATACAGAGCCAATTTTCTATTCCTTACTAAAGATATACAGTACACATGGTCCAGACCCCTGGGGTCTGAGTGTTTTGCAGCAACATACACCTGCTGGGGTTGTGTTTTGGGTTTTGTCTTTTCCTGTCTGTCTCCTGGTTTTTGGTACAGAACGTGGCTGTCCTCAGACAGTGTCTGCTCTCTCTCTTAGTCCAAGATAGGCAAGGAAGGAGTGTTTGGGTGAGGGGATGCTGGGAGGTGCAGTCTGAGGTCGTGGAGGGTGGAATGTGAGATCCAGGTGGTTTCTGGGGTACAACATTGTCAAGGGAATGAGATGGGCAACATCTGAGTTCCGGTATTTGTCAAGATGCAGCGGGGAGCCACTGAAGGCCAAGGCCTTGAGTGCCAGGTTGGGCTCCGAGCTGCTGCCGTGGGCTGCTGACAAGGCCACGGTCTGCAGAGCCTGAGAGGCAGACATGACTGACAGCGGGGACAAGAGACTCCGGCCACCCCCCACAACCAAGAGTGGGGCTCCAGGGCCAGCTGGCTCTCTGGAGGCTGGACTCAGGCCTTTCTTGTCCTCCTCAGGGCCATCTCCACTCTGGTGCTTCTTCACATGGCGGCTGAAGACAAAAGGGTGTGTGGTCTTGAACAGGCACTCTCCGCAGCTGAAGGTCTGGCGGGGGGCGTGCTTCAGCTTCTTGTGCAGATTGAGATTGTCCTTGCGCTTGCAGCTATAGCTGCACTGGTCACAGTGGAAGGGCCGCTCCCCGGTGTGCACGCGAACATGCTCGATGAGCTTGTTGGCCGTCTTAGACAGGTAGCCGCACTGGTCACACTTGTAGTGGTTGCCCAGGCGATGCTCGCGGGTGTGCGTCTCCAGCTCCAGCTGGTTGGCCTTCACTGTCTGGCAGATCCGGCACTTGTACTCCATCTTATAGTGGGTCTTGAGGTGGCACTCCATGGCAGCAGGGCGGTTGGTGGAATAAATGCAGAATGGGCACCTGCCAGGGGAAGCAATGGAAAGGAGCCTCAGCAAGGAGGGCCCGCTGGGAACCCGGCATCTCCCCTCCTTGCCAGCCTGCACTGGGTCAGCCCTTGGGTCCCCAGGGCCTGGCCTGCTCCACCCTGCCACCTCTCAGATGGCTCTGCTTGGCTTCACTGCTGACAGTGCAGTCCAGGTTAACAGGGAGCTCTGGGAGGCCCACTTAGCTGGTTTTGGGGCTCCAGGCTGCAACAGCCAAGGCCTGTCCTCTCAAAGGAGCAGAGGATTCAAGGAGCAGATAAAACTGGTACTCCCCTCCTGCCCCCACCCAGCCCCTGGGGCCCTTTCCACCCCCTCCCCACACTGGACATGGCAGAAGTCTGGGCTTCTTGACCTCCCCTCTAGATGGGAGAAACACAAAGAATCGACTTTTCATGCACCACACCAAGCACACGCAGAGAGGCTGAGAGGTTTTAAAGAACAGCTTATAGGGAGAGCTACCTCCAGCAAACAGAAAGTCACAGGAGTCAGAGTCGTGCTTATTAAAGGGGTGTTAGGATGAAAAGGCCTGTGCATGTCCCTGTGTGCCAATGGTGTGTGTGTGTGTGTGAGTGTGTGTGTGAGTGTGTACCAACATCATGTGGACTCTCAGAATGTTGTCTCCTAAAGTACCGGTTCTTCATCAGGAATGGAAGGTGAGGACCATGGTAGGGGCCTGGGAGAAGGAAGCCCACACAATGGCCCCTCTGCTCATAAGGGATGAGGAGGAAGGGAACTGCTCTCCAGAGCTTGAAGACATTCTTAGGACATAGTCATGGCATAGCAATACCAGTGATCCAACTGGAACATGAATTCTCCAAGGGTAGGACTTTTTGAGATTTCTTTTGCATTCTCTACAGTGCTTAAGAGAGCGCTCAGGACATGCTGAGTCACGATCTGAGCATCTTTACAGGTAATTGAGGTAGATTCAAAATGGTAGGCTGAGTCCCAGCTCTGGCACCTGGGTAGGTGTTTCCTCTAGCACAAGGTCTGGGTATCTCTGGCTTGGGTTCTCCATTCTTTCCATCATGGATTTCGCTACGACCAGCCCTGTCAGGGAGGCTGTGGGGAGTGGGGTGGGTATGTTTACAAATCTGTGGGCTTCACTTTTGGGAAGCTGCCAGGTTTGAGTTTGTGGCTTATAGGATAACTGTAGCATGTGTGCTCTTTCCAAAAAGAATGCAGATGCCTGAGTGGCTGCCTCAGCTTGGACTCAGCTCCTGCAAGGCAGGGCTCAGAAGGGGACTGTCCTCAGAGGGTTGGAGAGATGTTCAGCAGAGCCTAACACAATCAGGTGCACCGTGCACTGGCTCCTCAGCACCAAGCTCGCCGTTAGCCCTTGAACCTCAGCTCACAAAAGAGTGCACAGAGATATAAAGCCCATTCCCAGGTCAAGTGCACACACAACCCCTACGCCAAGCTGGGCCTTACCTAGAGGAGTCTGACACTCACCACTGTCCTGAGCTACGGCAAAAGAAAAATAATAGTATAATCTTATTTGATCTGCATTATGAACAGGATATAGAGTACAAGCAGTCCCATCACAGAAAAGCATTAGACATCGGCGGTCTGCCTCACATTAAGGATGTTTCTGTGACCCTCAGCTGAATCTGTTATTTCACTGCTCTGCAACGCACTTGGGCTTTTCCACACTCCCATTATTTATCTTAAAGACACGTTCTCCAGAAAATTAATTCTCTGATATTCCAAAAGAAACAAAACAAAACAAAACTCACTGTATAGCCAGAGGGAATTATCAATATTTTTTTTTCAAAATGTTCTTCTACTTGGTCGTCCTAGAACATAAACTATCATGCAGGGGATGGTTAGCACCGACAGGCAGTGTCTGACCCAGGAAAAGCACTGAAGTCATCCTGAGGTCTTCCTGGCTTAGGCCTGCTTAGGGTTCCAAAAGGTGAGTGGCAAGGCCACAGTGGCGTGGGTGGGACTGAGCTACGGCAAGGTATCACTCCATCCAGAGGAGGCGGGTTCTTCTTTTTAATAAAGAATATACAAATTTCAATAAAGAGGCGGAGGGATTAAACTCAAAGTCCCAGATAAGCTTCTGTAGGCACCTCCCATATATCGGTTGAATGAATTATAAAGTCATCCTCTCGTCTATGACCCGCCCATCTACACACCTCAAGGGTAGATCCAAATGGGATGGGATCAGCAGTCGGTGCCATTGCCCAACCTTCCTTTTTTTTTTCTTTTCCAGAGGATGCCCTGACCAGCCAGCCCCACTCCGCCACCAATACTCTGCTCCAGGTTCCTCTGGGCTCTCCAACTCTTACCCATTCAGGAGGCATTGTGAGTTTCAAGGATAAAAATATTTTAAAATGAAAGACCCCTCCTCTGCTTATATTAAAAAAATAAAAGAAAACGTGTTCCTGATTCTTCTAACTCCATGGTGATTTTAGATTAAAAAAACGCCTTGACAATTGTATCTTTCTGTATCCAACTATTTGATGCTTCTGTTTCTTTACTAGATCCAAAATGTCTTGCGACAGGGACTCTGCTTCCAGAATCACTGGAAGAATAAATTCTGGTAGTTTTGGGACATAAATTTCTTAAGGTGAAAATGATATTTTATTCTTCATGAGTCCTTTAGCATATATGGTCAGTCCAGCTGCAGAGTACGTTTAGTAATAACTTATGGGTCTCACTCGAGGCCAGGGGCCTTGTTGCAAATACTGTGTAAGGATGATGCTCCTGGTCTAGCTCTTTTGGGGAGGTGTCAGCATGTCTGCAGGAAGAGAGAAGCACTTGATGTTGCATGAACACAGTTGCCTCTCGTCTGATCAAACCACCAAGGTCCTGCTTTGGAGGCTGGGTGCCTATAGTTCTTAAGAGCTAAATATATGTCAGGCCATCTAAAAAATAAATGCAGTAACTTGCAGGGACAACTGTGGAAAGCTCGATGCATGAGGATGCTAGCCTGGCATCCACTGCAGTAGGAGTCTACTCTTTCATGCAGGGCCGACACTTTGTACTCTTCCTTGCTGCAAGCCTGAGGGTACTTGTGAAGTGGCTTTTCTTGCTAATGTCTGTTGACTCCCTTGAGGACAGCTGGAACCCCATCAAGCCAGAGGCAGCAGGTCTTTCTGATTAACTCCCCTCATACTATGATCCCCCATTTTGTGATCCCCAAAACCTTTATGAGGGGATTGGGTAGGGCAGGGGAAAGGGGTACTTAATAACAACTCAATAAAAGATTCTGTACTTGCTTTCCTTACTTGAGCCCACCGGTGGGGACAGTATGGCATTTCTTATGCTCCAGCAGCTGTTCGGGGGTCTTCATGAACTTGTGGCACACGTCACACTCAAACATCCGGGTGATGAGGTGGATTTGCAGATGGCGCTCAAACATATTCTTCGTCTTGCAGACAAAGTTGCAAAAAACGCATTCGAACCCTGAAAGGACCGAAGCTGGGTGTAGGGGTGTGTAGGGAAGGACAGCAGGTAGGTGGTTGGGCGGTCGGCCGGGTGGGCCCGGGGCTGGACTCCCCTTCCTTCCAACCCGGCATTTCATAACACACCGCTGTATAGGCACCATCCCTAAATCTGAACTAGAAAACTGAACATTCAGCTTCAGAGTCCACATCCCCCTCCCGTTTCCCACCCCATTCCTGAGCACAAATCAAGCCAAAGCAAAGGGCTCCTTTTCAGTAGTGAGCACCGTGCTGCAGTTTGTTTTCCTCACGAAGATTTATTCTCTAGACTAGGTCACCTAGTGTGGTCAGGGTGAGCAGGCCACGTCCACCCCTCTCACCTTTCTCTGGCTTTTCCTCGTTGTTCAGTGATGGCTGGCTCCCAGGTACCACAGAGATGACTAGCAAGTTGTTCCCGCCCTTGTTTTTCTGGGAGCTGTCTGAGTCATCTTTGCCATTGGCTGAATCACTCAGAGTTGACAGTGAGGATGAGGAGGGGCTGTTTGATTCACTGGGGGTCTTCCTATCATCCCCTGGAAAAAGAAAATGAGGCAGGTCTGTTATTGGGGGGAGAACCCCTTAGGAAGATGGCAGATGAGAAAGGCTGCCAGCAGCACCTGGGAGCTTCAGCACTTCCTGCTCCCCGGGGCACCTGCTGGGAGGCTGAGTCTAGTGCAGCCCCAGTGAGGCCATGTGTGGCCTGTTGAGCCCTGATGTCTGTGGGCATTTATTAAGGTCTTAGGTGGATCTCACATGTCCCTGAGCTTTGCCCACGGTCTGTTAACACTTTAGATGCTTGTCTCATAGTTTGTTTTTCCCAGATTTCTTAGGTCTGAGGATGTAGGTCAGTATTTGAGAGTGGACTTAGCATGCATGAGGGTCTGGGTTCAATCCACAGTGTGCGTATGGCACACACATCTCACAGACACTACTGTCGTTCCTACTTGGCAGAAGGACAAACTTGGCCCAGATCAGATGTGATCTCTGAACCAAGCTCGGTGAGTTGAGTATGTTCACACTCATCAGCAGACACTGGACTCTCCTGCAGAGCCAGGCATAAAGAAGTTAACAAGTCATTCAAACCTAATGCCGTGAGACTTTAGCAACTAGAAAATCCTGAGAAACAGGGATTAGATCTATTATTGTTACTAAAACAGCTAAAAATCAGAATGTATCAAACAACAACTTTTACAACACTGGAAAAGAGGCAATGAAGAAATCGGTCTCTGAGAGACAGGACAAAGGAGGCAAGCCCCACAATGGCTTAGCTCCTTGCCCTAAGATATGTCTTAGGTTGCAGGACAGGAAGAGGGACATAGGAGAAGCCTCAGGACTCTCCCCAGGAAGAGCTGCAGCCAAGGGTCTGCGGAGGTCACAATGGACAGACACTGCAGAGAACACAGTGCCAACAAAGAGCAAGTGACAGAGAACATTACCCAGAGAACTGCAGAGGTCAGGAGGACATGCGTCAGAGCAGGTGTGAGCAGCTACCCATGCCTGGAGGGGAAAGGCCACTGAGACCATAGAGGGCAGTCCCACAGGGCTGGCACTGCAAAGGTGTCGGTGCTGTGCCCAGCAGGGCAGTCCCACAGGACTGGCATTGCTTAGGTGTCCGTGCTGTGTTCAGCAGCAAGATCAAAGCAATACGTCATCCATGAGCATTAGGTAGGGTGTTGAGAAAGGACTTTGAAAAGGAGGCAATAATTAGTCCCCAATAGATAAACACCTAATGATTCACAACTGCCTAACAAGTCATAGAGGAAAGATGCCAAAATATCAAGGCTTCCAAGTCCTATGTCCTAAAGAAAGGTCAACAATCATAACAGGAACGAAAGATACATAACTGAACGGGCAGCACTGTAAAAACACAAAGATTATCAGATATGCAAAGAACAAGAAAAACCAGCTCAAAATGGGGAGGAGAATCAACCAATCAAAGCCAACCCAGAATAGGTGGAGTTTTACAGTTTGTAGTAGAGAATGTTATAATTATATTTCAGATGTCCAAAAAGTTAGGCAAACACATGGAAGATGTGGAGAGGGGTCCAAGTGACATTTCTACAGATGGAGACACACAGTGAGGTCCTCACTAGAGGGCTACACAGCACAAAGTGCTGGATAGTTTCATGTCAACCTGACACAAGGTAAAGTCATCTGAGAGGAGGGAGCCTCAATTAAGAAAATGTGACCATAAGACCGGGCTGTAGGCGAGCCTGTAGAGCATTTTCTTAATTAGTGATTGATGGGGAGGGTCCAGCCCACTGTGGGTGGGCCATCCGTGGCAGATAGTCCTGAGTTCTATGAGAAAGCAGACTGAGCAGGTCGCAGGAAGAAGCCAGTAAGCAGCACCATGTTTACTGCCTCAGGTCCTGCTTCCAGGTTCCTGCCCTGCTTGACTTCCTGTCCTGATTGCCTTTGATAAACAGTGATCTGGAAGTGTAAGCTAAATAAACCCTTTCTTCTCCAACTTGCTTTTTGGTTGTGATGTTTTTGTTGCAGCAACAGAAACCCTAAGACAATGAGTAAACTCAACTAAAAGCTACAGGAAAGGTCTGGGATGGAGCAGAGCAGGGAACCCTCCCAGACAAAAAGAGCCTCAGTGAGCTGGGAGGTGCTCCAGTAAGATGCTCCAGGGAGGTGCTCCAGTGAGGTGCTCCAGAGAAGTTCTCCAGTGAGGTGCTCCAGGGAAGTGCTCCAGCGAGGTGCTCTAGGGAAGTGCTCTAGTGAGATGCTCCAGGGAAGTGCTCTAGTGAGGTGCTCCAGAGAAGTTCTCCAGTGAGGTGCTCCAGGGAAGTGCTCCAGCGAGGTGCTCCAGGGAAGTGCTCTAGTGAGATGCTCCAGGGAAGTACTCCAGGCAGCTTTATAAGAGATTGACTTGAGGCCCTGATTAGTTGGCCAAGGCATGGCTTTTCCTTTGCTTGTTTCCTTGAGACAGGGTCTCTGTATGTAATCCTAACTACCCTGGAACTCACGATGTACTTAGGCTTGCTTTTAAGAGAACTCTGCCTGTTACTGCATCCAGAGTGCTAAGACTAAAGGCATGTGCCATTCTTCCCAGCTAAGGACAAGTTTTTCCTTTTGTTTTTTTTTCAAGACACAGTTTCCCAGTGTAGCTCTGGCTGACTTGGAACTTGTTCTGTAGACCAGGCTGGCCTTGAACTCACAGACATCTGTCTGCCTCTGCTTTCCTAGTGCTACACCTCCACCTGGCTGACAGGTTTTTGTTTGTTTGTTTGTTTGTTTGAGATAATCAAGATGTTTCACATTTGTGGATCACTATAAAGCCCAGAGTCTGAGATGTTCCATGAACACCAAGCACAAGACACATGAAGAGCGAAGAACGTAGAGGGCTGAGTTCAGTGTCAGTTTGGGCTAGATAGTGAGAGCCTGTCTAAAAAAGAAGACATCCATCTCAAGAGACACAGGAACATCATCATTAAATTGTTTGAAACACGCAGAGAGAGAGAGAGAGAGAGAGAGAGAGAGAGAGAGAGAGAGAGAGAGAGAGAGAGAGAGAGAGAACAAAACCCAAAAAACCTAGAGCTAGTGTGATGTCATGGTTGTATCCCAGAACTCAAGGGGCTAAGTCAGGAGGATAGAGACGGAGGTCAGGTTGACCTCCACAGTGATTTACTGTCTAAAATAAAGTGAAATAGAAGAAAGCAGAAAAGGGAAAAGGGAAAAGGGAAAAAGAAAAGAGAAAATTCCCAGGAGCAACCATAAGCAAAGAGGTCACATTCTGTGATATACGCTTCCCACAGGAATGACCCGTCAGAAAGACACCAAGCAGCATCTTCAAAGAAGTAGAAGATTTGAGACCAAGTGAAAAGATGTCATAAGAACGAAGAACAAATAAGCAAGGCTGACACTGGAAATGATGGTGGAAACCATCACCTGCAGACTTGAACCTAAGGCAAATTAAAGTCTGGAAACAGGGAAAGGGCAGCTGATGCCAGCAGTGGCCAGCGCGTCAGGAGCCAGCACGTCAGGAGGTGCTGGGGACAGTAAGTGAGCGCAGGGGAAAAACATGCCTTTGTGTTTTAACATCTTTGGTAGATAATCAAAGTATTGGTGCTTAACCCCAAATAACAGGTTTAAAGTCCATCTGTGAGGAGAAGTCCAAAACTACCATAGAGGCGCGGAGGGGAAGGTGGGAGTGTGTCATTGTGGGTTTCTACTGGGGAGTAGTAAAGCAGGAGGGTGGAGATTGGACTATATGTCATGCAGCATGAATGTTGGCTTAACTACCTCCATAGTAATTTAACTTACTAACGCACAGATTTAAGCTAGTAGAACTGTGGCCAAAGTCAAACCTCTAAAAACAGTAGTAAACAGGAAACTCTCAGAGTCAAACTATTAACTTCTAACAAACAGGGGTCAGCAAAGGGTAGCCCAGGACTCATACTAGCTTTCTGCTCTTGTAAATCAGTTTTACTGAAACATGACTATTTACCTGAGTATTAGCATTTAGAACTTCTAGTTCCAGTGGATGGCTAAGCTGTGTCAAAATAAGGACACAAAGGTAGGCGGGTAGGGAAGGGAGAAGGTAGATCTGGGAGGATTTGGCAGGGTTAATATGATCAAATCGCACTGAATGAAGTTCTCTAAGAATTCATTAAATATAATAAAAAGGACAGAACTTGGAAGGCCTGAAGCATTTACCACCCAGATGGAAACTCTGGCTCGCAGCACACAGACTTACAAACAACATTATTTCTTCCAATAGCAGCCGCTGCCTAAGAAGCTTCTACTGTATTAGACAGAAGCTTCTTCAACGTGCTTCACCTGTGGCTTCTGCCCTCCCTGCTCATCTGGGAGCTCCGTCAGCTCGCGGGAACATGGTCCATCCTGCCCATCCTGTGGTACTTAAGAGGCGTTTTGCCTTGCTTAATTGTGAACGTGAAGTTTGCATCGAGGATAGGTGATGCCAAGCTAACGTTTCCCTGAGGTGGGTGGTGGAGGGGACTGTGGGGTGGGGTGGAGAGACATTCAGGGACACATTGGAGTGAAGAAGAGTAAGTGTTTAACAGACAGGACAAAAGAGTACTGCAAAGCCAAGTGGGAACCGGAGGGAGGCTGGCTTTTCCTGCCATTAGCCATTCTAGAAAGGCCGAATTTAATTTGTCTTCCATGTGGGCCTCCCAGCTCACCTACTTCCCACAGTGCTAATGTGGTTACAGTCAGACAACCGACTGTAAAAATGGCACCTTCTCACTCCGTATAATGACTCTCTGCGGACCTCCAAGTCATAGCTGCTCAACTTACTGACAAAAACGGAGTTTTACTGCTGTTGGCACCGACAAGCCAAAGTGGTCAGAGAGGCAGAAGCCTTCTTGGCCATGCACATTGTCAGCATGACTGTCAAAGAGTCCCCTTCCAGGGTCCTTCCAGAGCCAGCAATTCGATGGGCTGACCTCACGCCCAGGACTGGCAGTAAGCAACATCAGCTCTTAGTCTGTAGCACCACAAATGGGGGAGGGGGAAAGGCAGTCCCTTTCACTCTTGCTTAATGATTCTATGATGTTGTCATCCCTACCATCCCTTCTGAGGGTGTAATTACACGGAAAAGTCACAGTGTTAACAGCTAAATGGAAGACGTTAACTGGAGTGGTGAGAGGCTTTAAATGAAAGGCAAGCACTAGCCAAGCCTAGTTAGGTTGGTTTCAGAAGAAGAGGGTAGTCTGAACAGACATACCATGTATGTCATTTTGGAGCACCCAAGAACCTACAGATTAGGGATATGATACCCTGGTACAGGAAAACAGAAAGGTCCGAGGCCATAGCAAGTGTCCTGTAGGCTGTCAGAACAGTGAGGAGATGGACAGCAGGAGGTGGGGCAGCCTCTTCTGGGCTGAGGGTTGGAATCCACATCCCATTCATTGACCTTGTGTGGAATACCCCACCCCTCAGCTTCTCTCTGTGTTGCGATATTAGCAAAATTCACATTAGAGGGCTCCTGCTGCCTGAGGTGAGCAGGCAAAGCACCAGCCTGGGGCGGAAGAGCTTAGTGACTATTTCGTGTGGTGATGACAACCAGGACTAGGTGAGGACCAAGTGCATAGCTTGGTGTGTCCCAACAGTATCTATGCTCTGCAGCAAATTTCAGGTCTGTGTAGCCATGACATCATGCCTAAAAGTTCATGCCACTGTGGGGCGCAGGGGATGGAAAAGGCCAGGGATGGTTACCTGTGTGCTTGGTGCCAATGTGATTCTTTATCTCTGCTTCCTCCATGGTGACAAAGTCGCAGGCTGTGCAGCAGATGGAAAACATCCACTGCTCCTTGTCCACATGGAGAGACATGTGGCTTACAAACTGAACATTGAGCTCCGTCTCAAATCCACACACGTGGCAACTGAAGCAAGGAGGAGAAGGGTAAAGGAGTGAGACAGGCCTGTAAATATGTCTGCTCAGCTACACAGTGGGCGTGAGAACATTAGTTTCATGTGTATGCTCTCTATCGAAAGGTACAGCATCAGGAAAATCTTCTGCCTGCTGGGATGCCTCCAGAGTAGTCACGGTGCCAAAGAGACTAGATGCCAGCATAATATAACAATCCCATACATGCAATAATGATGCTAAATAATCATAAAGTTAATTAAAAACTACAGATTCCAGATGCTGCACATGGCCTGACAGATTCCTCTGGGCACTGAGATTCAGGGCAGTGTTGCCAAGGTATTAGTGGTTGTCCACAGACAGATCAGACTGTGCTGCACACCTCAGACTCCCCCAGGTTCTAGGAACCCTTGGGCGCAGTGAGGAGAGCACACAGACCATTCTGTGGCACTCTGAGCAAGAGGCAAGCACATCTGTGACACCTCCTAGGAGAAGCCCCTCAGCCACCCAGATGCCTTGCAAGGACAACTTGCCACCAATATCGCTCAGGCATGATTTGACAGAATTTCATACAGACTGAAGACTGACTACAGAGCAGACTATAGTATGTCGTGACGGGCAACTGAGGGACAGCACGCAGGGCCTTCTGAGCAATGGATCTCAGATTACTGTTCTTGCCTTTCCCCCGTGATTCTGAAACTACAAGGTGCTCAGCCCCAGAGCAGAGCATCCGGAGCTCGCCCTGATGAACGCCTCCCAACTAGTTCTCTTTCGGTTAACTCTTTAAGGGCTGCCTGAGCTAGTCGAGCATCTGTGCCAGTTCAGGGTTCAGTGTAAGCAACGAGCATATTAAAATGAAGTTAGCAGTGGCTGAGTAGGGGCTCTGTGCCCAGTGCTTGGCCAGGCAGAGGGGGAGTGTCAAAGCAAGGGGTCTGAGAAGCTTGGGTGGGCTGTGGCTGGCTTGACCCACCTGTAGTAATAAGGGTGTTTCTTCCCGTCACCGCCTTCAGAAGTGACAGCACTGACGATGTCCTCGGTGTCTGTACTCACGAGCTTCACAGAGTGCACGGTCAGGTGCTGGTTCAAGTTAGCACGGCACTTAGCAGCATAGGGGCACAAGTGGCATTTGTATTTTCTTTCCTCTGGGGGAGAAACCAAAACTGCTCTCAAAAAAGAAAAAAAAAATTCAAGAGCTCACTTAAAGGAACCAATGAAGGTTGGTCCAAGTCTTTCTTTATGTGGGGGGCAAAGGTCATGCCTTGAAATTGTGGGTAGGCATATCCCTAGCAGTTTGCTCCTGTATCAATACTCAGCTCACAGTGATTTAAAAAAGCCTTCTCTAGGCAGCGAGGACAAGATCTTGAGGCTGAAGTGTGGTTTTCATGGTGACCAAACCAAATCTGATTCAAGGGAGGAGGTGGAAGCCTGAAGCGACACTGCGGCCCCACCCAGGCCAGAGGGCAGCTCTTCGAGCTGTTTCCTCAGAGTTCTCAGATTTGTTTTGCTTCTTGGATGCCTCACACTTCATCCCTCATCATGGCAAGGTGAGGTCTACAGGGCTAAAAGGACACTGTGTGAGTGTGCTCTTGCCATGTGAGTGTGCACATACGCGTGCCCATGTGTCTACCAGCATCGTTCTTGACTAGATGAGTTTGGTGCATGAATGTGCACATGAGTGTGACCTGTGTGTCATTCTTGGGTAGGCGCTGAGCTGGAGAAAGCTAAGGAAATAAACACTGATAAAACCGGGACCTAAGAGGCTCCATCGTTTCCCTCAGCTCCAGCCCTAGACTGGCCAAGGGGGAAAAAAAAAACTAATGAAATTAAAGGAGGAAAATGACTTGTATAAAATAATTTAATTGGAATTTTCATTTTACATAAATAAAATTTAAAAATCTCAATTAATTTGTAATGGGAATTGGCTCATAAAGCTGACTAAGGTTTTAGGAGCACTTCCAGAGTGGCGTTCTGAATTCATTTGACTAATCAGGCAGACTGTAAGGGGAACAACCCTGCTTCCCTACAGAAGGTGGCAGAGGCAGCAGGCTCAGTCTCACCTATCCTGATTTCTGGGCTTGGCTTGAAGACACTGTCTTACTATCTTCACCAGGGTTAAAAGGATTTCCATCACAACACAGAGACACCAGGTTATTTTATGGCGCCCCTACCCACAGCTGCAGGTTTGAGGCTGGGCTTGAAGTGTGGGGAACAGGCTTTAGAATTCCTGCCTCTGCCCTGAGAGATGAGGATCTGGGTTTCAGCACCAAGGTCCACCTCCAGGAATGGGGAGTGGTCCTTCTTTCCATCTCATGAATGGCGAGTGGCCCCTCTTCCTGTCACCTGTGAAGCTCCTGTAACACTGGGATTTCCTCTTCTCAGAAGTAAGAACTTATCTGGGAGAATCTGCCCAATATCTTTATTAACAATATTTCCTTCATCAGCTTTCCAAATTCTCCTTTGTAGTGGATTTTTTCAAGTTCTTGTCTCAATGTTATTTTGGTAATTTTGCTAGTTTTCTATCAGCTAACTTATGGGCCAAAGAAAAATCATGTGTCCTTTTTCTTCAAAAATTTCCCCCCCTTTCTGAAACAGGGTCTCACTACGTAGTCCCAGCTGTCGTCACATGTAGGGATCCCTCTGCCTCTGGCTCCCAAGAGCTGGGATTGAAGGTGTATGCCATCATGCCTGCATCCAATGCTCCTCCAGTGTCACCTGGGATTAGCTTTGCTGGTCTTTCCCACCTCAGAGCGTATCCCCTTCCCTTTCTTCATCCAGCACCAGAGAGGCTATCTAGACTCAGGTGTTCTTTACTGACCCCTTAAGGTGATATGCTCCTTCATTTTTCCCACTCAGTTTGTGCTGACTCGAGCTGTAGCTGTCTTAGTTGTCGGTATAAAATGTTCTCATTCCTTTAGATATCTGATGCTTACATTTTTTCTTCTTCCCTTTTTAAATTGATCCTAATTAAGTAGGGAATTTTATTCACCCTGTTACTTGGTTACTTGAAATGCATTTAAGTATGCTTAAAGAATGAGGCCTTAAAATCCCCACTTCTTAAAAACATGTTATCTGTCTAATATATGATGGAAATTTGAATTTAGTGGATTTAAAAAGATAAAAAGGTCAAAATTAATCTTGTCATATTAATATTCTGTCTCTGTGCTTTTATTTTTGCATAATTGTACAAAAAAACCCCTTAACTTTGAACTTTTATATTTTTCCTTTTTTGGACCAGGGTGTCCCTATGCACTCCATGCTGTGCTCAAATTAGTGATCCTCCTGTCTCAGTCTCGCAGTGTTGATATTATAGGTGTCTCAGTATACCTGGCTTATTTCATATTGGTGTATTTGGGTAGTTTTAAGGTCTGACTTTCAGTGTTAGACTCTCAAACAGTTGACTGTATTTTCTTTGGTGTTGGAGACTGGACCCTGGGCTCACATGGGCTCGGAGCCACACCAACCCATGTCTGTTGTCCCCTGCATCTGCGTCTTTCCTGACCTCTTCCATGACATCTTCCGGCTTCAGTTACTTGTGCTGATTAAGTTACTATTTACTTTCTCTTTACTTCTAGTTAACTTCACTCCTCTCCTAGTCCTGCCCCCGGAACAGACCACCTAGTGTGCATTGGTCCACGTAAACAAAAACAGAAACTATCTATCTCTTCACCACCACGGTTGGTTCTCCCCAACCCTTACTTCTCCTACCAGCATGAAATGAAACCACTAAGATCTTCATGCTGCTCGGCTATTGTTTACATAAGCCTATCTCGCACTTAGCACTCGCACTAAAATCTAAATTAAAATCTTTCCTTAATAAAAAAGAAATAGATACTAAGAAGGTGGGGTGTAGCCCCAGCATCTGAACGTTTCAAAGGATCTGAATCCATTCTTAACAGAGTTCAGGAGTTGACCTAGAGGTTCTTAAGCGCAGATCGTTTCTCATTAGTTCTTCTGGGAATTCAATGAGGCTTTTCAATATAGAAAAGCTTTTTCAGGGTCTCAGTACATGTGCCAGGCAGCAAAGCCTGTAAAGAGCAGAACCAGTTAAGTTCCCACCACTTCCTATGAATTCTCTTAGAGAAACTCAAGTGCTTGCTAGTAGAGGTCTGGAAGGGCTGTGGAAGGCTGGGGAGCTATGTCCCCTACTTACCTGTGTGCAGTGAGAGGTGCCGGGACAACGTCTGCTGTCGGCCAAACACTTTCCCACACACGTCGCAAGGGAAGAGCTGGTCATTGAACTTCCAGGATGGCAGTCCGTTTCCTGCCTCAAGGACGATCTTTTCTGTCTCTGGACCAAGAGAACAAGGCGTTGTGAGGAAGACAGGGCAACAGAGACTCATGACATGTTAGCCAACCCTGAAGATTTCATCAGAGGCATCTCCCCACCCCCACCCTCTGAGAATGGGGCTAACAAGAACCAGTGGCCACCCTCATGATCATCTCCATTGATGAAGAATACGGGTGGGGACTCACGGCAAAGGGAGCCCCACAGCCCAGCAGCCTCTAGGTCTTCAGTGGTTCCTCTCATTGCTAAAGGCTAGCGAGTGTGAGTGCGTGTGCACGCATGCACATGCATCTACACACACATAGATAGATAGATAGATAGATACATAGATACATACATACATCCATACATCCATACATCCATACATCCATCCATACATACATACATACATACATAGATGGATGGATGGATAGATAGATAGACAGATAGATAGACAGAAGAACAGACAGAGGCTTGACAGCACTCTGCTCACTATATAGAAGGTGCTCAATAAACACTTGAGGGAGTGACTAACAGAGCTGCACATTAACTTTTTGAGAATCTAGACACCTGCTTCAAAACAGTAAACAAAGCGCTGGAAGTCCCAGATTCCACTGAGAAAATAAACAGTCCCCTGTCTGGAAAGAAAATATTGCACTGTTCTTTATGAAGGAAAGCTTTGCTCCCAAATTCTGGGTTGTACATAGTGTTTAAGCCGGAGCTCATATAAAGCTGACTTAGGGAAGCCCACCACACACTGCTCCTTGCACAGGAGTACAGACTGTGTGCCCTACACATCTTGTTGCATCTGGGAAAGTAAGTACCCCACAAGTGATCCATACGCATCCTTGGATGCAATAAGCACACTTCAATACCTTCCCTTTGTAGCTTAGAAAACTTTCATTCCTCATCATCATCATAGAATTTCCTTTTACTTTCTGACCCCTGACTCTTCTCAATGAACCACAGTGGGCTATATCAACATCTCTTCTGCCGTTGTATAAGAAGACAGGTGACAGAGGGGATGCCCAGAAGAGGGAAATGGACACTTCCAAGGGACAGCTTGTTTGGGTCTTCCTTTGAAGACTAAGACACTATAGTCAGTTAGTATTTGTCCCTGACCTGACTGAGCCCTGTGAGTCTTCCTGAAGCATGGTGCTACATTACAGAATGGAGTTTCATTTGGGAAAAATTAAATATCACCAGGAACTCTTTATAAGATCCAAGCAGAAGAGAATGCTCTGAGTGCAGGTCACAGAACCCCTGTAGAACAAAGTGCTTGATTTCACACAATTAGGCTAAAACCATTTTCCAGACAGAGCGTCCACCTGTATTTGGACAAGTCAGCTGGGTCAATGCACATCTGAATGAAGATTTGCTCAGCAACGTAATCCAAGGAAAGAAGAAACAAATAATGCAGGCTTGGAAGCAGGGAGGAGCCAGGAGGAAGCAGATGATGGTTGCAGTGCCGTGCCTGCCAGCAAACCCAATATCATGAACACATTGATCGATTGATCTGTGTTTGTTAAAATGTATCTCTTGAGGCCTCAGGGAGAAGAAACTAGTTTGTGTCAAGTAGAAATGCCTGACTAAGGCTGTCTATAAAGCAAAGGATGGAACTGAGGGCAAGGGATGATGGGAAGGTGAGGAAGAAGGTACAGGTCAGGGGGACATCTGAAGACAAAGTGACTTGGGTGACTGTCCTCAAGCCCGAGTGTGGGTATTTCAGCCCTGCAGAGATGAGAGATGGTATTTAAAGTAGTTCCTTCCAAGTGTGTAATCAAACAGCACTTTCAGGAGAACGAGAATAACAGACAGAGGTCAGGATGGTGCAGCCTTCTAATACAGTTACAATAAATGAATTAACTGTGTCACAGACCCAGCACGTAGATACGATTAAAAATGAAGATGTCTCTTAATAATTCTTTTGAGTATTAGTCATGTACTTGAGAGGCTGAAGCATCATAAAGACTTCAGCTTCTTCCAGAGCCTTAGAAAGTCATGGCAGCTTTGAAGACCAGACAACTGTGCAGAGAAAGCACCACACAGGCAAAAACACGACGCACCCAGGATGCAGTAGCCCGGCCCTGAGCCCAGATCCAAGCAGTCTGGGCTCCTGAACCCTCAGTGTTTGCATCTGTGGTACAGTTTGTTTTCCTTTCCCACATGGGAGTGAGGCAGTCCCAAGCTACGGGAAACCTTAGCCCAGAGCAGGATACTGCAGGGCTGGGGCTGGGCTCCAGGAAGAGGAAGAGGAAGAGGAAGAGGAAGAGGAAGAGGCAGGAAGCCCTGAGCCTCTGTTCACAAATAGGAAATGCAGCTCTCCAGAGGTCACACAGTCTTCCATGTGTCTTACTATCACCGTCACTCAAATGCCACAAGAGAGCTCAATTTCTGGTGTCCTCCCCACTCCATCTGTTAACACATCAATAGCCATCAAAAGTAATCAATCTTACTTTAAAGACCTTTCTGGACCCTACTTATTATCTTAACCAAACAATCAGATTTCACCAAGATTCTTGCAAAACTTTTCAGAACCCTTCTGGTCCCCACGACTTTCTTATCCATGTATCTGTATCCTCGGCACTTACAGGACACCCATGGTGATGGAGTCAGAGATTACGGTGAGATGGGGATCAATGTATTGATTAGCACAATTAACAGCATAACTATTAAGGTCAGCTGGCAATCTAGCATGACAGAAAGGCACATGTCTGGTAAGGTTAAACTTGGTTGTCAATTGGACACACCAGGAAAGGGGCAGGGGCTCAACAGAAGATCTGGCTACATCAGATTGGCTGGTGGCCACGTCTGTGGGTCATTTTCTTGATTAGTAATTGACACAGGAGGGACCAGCCCACCCTAAGTGGCACAATCCCTAGGCATACGGGCTTGGGCTATATAAGAAAGTTAGCCGAACACCAAGAGCAAGCCGGTTAGCACTGCTCGTCCAATGGCTTCTGCCTCAACCTCCTTCCTCAAATTTCTTGCCTTTGCTTCTCTTGAGGATAGATTGTAACCTGTAAACCAAATAAACACTCCAACTCCCCAGGTTGGTTTTGGTCATGGTGCTTATCGCAGCAATACAAAACAAATTAGAACAATGTTTTAACTCACTTTCTGGATGTGCTTGCATGATTCTCTTAGGAGAAATGCTTGCAGTCCTAACTCAGACTGCAAAGATTTTATAAGCTCCTACAGCACCAAATTCCAGGTGGATTCTAGTTGAGATGATCTGTCTGGCAGACTTAGATTACTGCTAACCCAACAGTCATCCTCCCCAGCCCTGCCCCATCCCCTCCCGCTATGGAGGCAACGGAAAGGCTCTTGTTTTCCTGAAGAAAAGAGAGACGCGCCTGAGTGTTGGTTTTCTCTCTTTTTCATGCCTTGATAATAAAGATAACCTTGGTAGTGGCAGATGTTTTGTGAACATGAAGTATGAAGATGCAAGCCAACTTTCAAAGATGGAGGAATGGATGATGGGAACAATCAGGGTCTCTGTGGGCATTGCTCTGTGGCCAAGCGAATGCCAGGAGCCATCTACCATTGAATTTCTTTTTGGGTGAAGAAAATAAGACACTGGCTCTCCTCCTCCTCCTCTTCCTCCTTCTCACCCCTTCTTTCCCTCTTCGCCCATCCTCTCCCTCTTCCTCCTCCTCTCCCTCCTCCCCTTTTCCTCTCCCTCCTCCCCTCTACTCCTCTTCCTTCTCCTTCTTTAATTACTCATGCCATTCTTAACTGAAACTCTCTCCCATGCTCACTGCCCATCTGCAGCATCCCTGACGGCCACTCTGTCCTCACTCTCGTCTGCAGCATCCCTGACGGCCGCTCTGTCCTCATCTCGACAGTGGTAAGTGTGAAGTTGGACGAGCACATTCCCATCTTAATTATCTTTGGTTCTGCTTAAAATAACCTTACAGGCCTTTTTTTTTTTTTTAGATTAGGACGGAATTTGCTTTAATTTTTCTGAAGCATAATATATACCCCAAATGGAAAAGTACGCATACTAGTAACTGCATCTCAATTAGTTTCAAAGTCTCCAGATAGTTGAAATTATGGGTATTATTTAAAAACTTCTGATTTCCTTCTTTATTCCTGTATTCCCTGGTGTTTGCTTCATTATTGTAAGTAGCTGCACAGTTACCATTGTTTTCTTTTCTTTTAGAGCAAAACTCCCGTCTAATGACAAATTCTTTCTTGCCCAGTCTCACAGAATTTTATCTCCAGAAAAACATTTTATTTATCCTCGAATTGCTCCAGTGTTTCTGTGCAGTACGGCCTGAGTCTTTCCTCTCCAACTGCCCACCTATAGTTTTACCTTGAACATCAATGAGGTCTTTTCTGTGTCCTTAAGGTTTCATTTTTGTTTTGTGTGGACCGCAGTCCCTCATACAAGCCAACCACATGTTCTACCACAGGGCTGCACACCTGGCTAGATTTTTATTTGCAGCGATGCAGCAGATGCATAGCCACAGGTAAGTACCTTTGTCCCTGTGCTGTGGCTGTGACTGTGCAGAGTCAGTGAGGCACCCCCACCTCTTTCTACACAGTGATTTGAGGCCCCTACTCACGATGATGAGGCCTCACTATGCAAGATGCAGTATGGCAAACTGCTTCTTAAGACCCACTGACCCAAAGAAAGATGTCTTATTTGGTGTGTAGGTCATGGGATGATCAAACTCAACCACTGTGTCTCCCAAACTGTCCATGAGATGTAATAGACAGGGTCACACAATATGGATCAAGCAGAGGACCTACAGAGCCTCAAACCCAACTCCTTCATTTACAAGAGAACCAAATGAATTGTTGAACCAAGACCTCTCTCAACACAAGGTACAAAGCAAGTTATATAGGGCCAAGAAGTACTTCCATGGTTACCAAGTCTCCACCCTACCCCAAACATTTAAGAAGGGACCTGAATTTTCATCTTGTTTAAATCCCTTTTCAAGAAGCCAAGAAATTAAGCACATCATGTTAGTGGCTGAAGAGAATTAGGCTCCCATATCTTATCCCTGCTCGTCCTA